GAACTGCCCACAGGGTCTCCAAGGCTGTCAGTCTTCACAGAAGCAAAGCCCAAACCACAGCCCCTGCTGGGAGTGGATTCTGACCCACAGCGCCCCTAGAGGACAGAGTGGAACTGCTCCACAGGATTTCCAAGGCTGTCAATCTTCACGGAAGCTGACTGCCTCATCTTAGAGGCCTCCATGGGTTCATGAAATTGACCCTTACGAGAGGGAAGTTTCTGTCCCAAAGCAAGCATGACTGTTTTAAGAACTTGAGAGGGTCCACAGCGATAGTGCTTTACAAAAGGAGATAAAGGGCCTACTTTGAGGTCAAGTTCCCGTTAAGCCAAAATGTACATTTCTGAGGCTCAGGCTCTGCGAATGCAGTGTGGAACTTTCTGGAAAACTTTCCAGAAAGCGAGGCTGTGACCACAACGTGGAAAGGCCCGACTTACGGATGTCTCGAAAGTGGATGATGAGCCTGGCCACGAGGGAGAGGTACTCGTCCTGAAAACACAAGACAGGAACCAGGTTAATCCCGGATGAAGCCGTGGAACCACGGGTGGCCCCTGCCTGCTGCGGACGGAGCTGACGCCAACAGAGTGACGTGGGTGACCCACCGACCAGGATCGGCCCTGTGTGGCATCCATCGCTCAGAGGAGACCTGACAGCAGTCAAATGTGAGGCCAATGACTGACACAGATACACAAACAAGGGGTGTGTGGGGGCCCTGCAGCTGAGGCCGGGGCCTCTGCAGAGGAGAGCCAGGCCACGGGGGCAGGCCAAGCCAAGGGCCGCCCCAAGGGGAAGGAGGGCAGGCACGCTGGGCACCGCTGATACCACAATGTTTTCACTTCCAATGCCCCTCTTGCTGCTTCCCTGCGAAGGCAAACCCGGACCCACTGTGAGGAGTCCCGAGTGAACCTGGATTTACTGGGCAGGCGGGCACGTGTGTCTGTGTGTGTGTGCACGCCATGTGGCAGAGCCAGCGAGGGGCAGGGGACAGCCCACTGGCCCGAGGGCCCAGTGTCTGGGTGGCCATGTCCCTGTAGTCCCATTGGGGCTGGCCTACCCCAGAGTGTCTCCTCTGCACTCAGGGATGCTCATTCTCGGGGTGCTGGGTAAACCAGTCCTCTGGGACTGTAGTCCACAAAGCAATGTCCATGTGAAATCTTCACCTAAATGTTCAGCAAAGCCCTTAGCCTCTGCCCAATGTTGAGGCGATCTGAGGCTGTCCCCAGAGCACACCAAGGCTACACCCCGTCCAGCCCTGGGGGCACGTACCAGGGGACATGTGTCCCTGGGCCCAGGGAGAAGCCAGGAAATGAATGTCCCAAGAAATCCCCCCAGGGAAGGGAACTAACTCCACCCGTAGCACTTTTCCAGCTGGGGTTGGGAGCACATGATGGCTCAAGGGGAAGGTGGGCCTGGGGAGGGAGGAGAAGCCCAGTCGACGGCCACAGGCAGAGGGGGTGGCCCAGGAGGGGCGGCGAGGTGCTACTACTAAACAGAGTGGGCTCAGTGACACCCCAGTGCTGACACCCCCACTGATTCCTGGTGGGAGAGATAATGTGGTGCTGGGTGACGGTCCCACCGCATGGCCTGCCACAGGGCTGGTCCTTGAGGGAGACAGGTTGGTGCATGGGAGCAAGGAAGTCATGAGGCAGGTCAGGACAGAAAGGAGGTGGCCAAGCATGAGGGGCAAGGTCCCAGGGGGGGCTGGGCCAGGCTGCCCTGGCGTTAGGGCCCCAGCTCCATCTTTCTCTATTTCCACAAAGGGTAGCACAAGAGGGTGTTGGTTTAGAAAGCCACAACCAGCTGCCACTCAGACACCCAAAATGGGGACCGAGGCCCAGGAACGTGTCTCCCCAAATCCCCTCTGCACGAAACCAGGAGGGGTGAGACCCACCTCCCGCCGGCCAGTGGAGTTGAGGGCAGAGGTCCCCACGCTGCAGGGCCCAGTGCCACTGCTACCAGTCTGTGTGGCTGAGGAGACCTGCTAAGCTCGGAGCGCCACAGGACCAGTGTGGAGGAGGGGAGGAAGGACAGGACCACCTGACAGGAGAGACAGGACACCAGGAGTTACACGGCATTTCCAGTGAGTGGCTCTTCGGTGCGGCACACACTTCCTAGATTCTTCCTAAGGCAGGGTCACCCTGGGGCAGTTGGAGGCTGAGTGCTGGATGTGAGCTGCCAGGGTGCCCTGTTCCTTCTCCGGGAAGAAACCCCTGGCTGGCCACATCTGCCGTTGCTGGAACCCTGGTGTGCAAAACGAACTTGCCTGGCAAGAGAGTTCCCAGCCCTGACAGAGTCTGATGGAACCCCTGAGACTATGGCCCCTAACTGCCCTTCACATCTGGAATTGAACCCACTCCTGTTGCTTCCAGCCAAACAAAAGATGGGCACATGGGCCGAACATTTACATTAGGCAGATACACTCCTTGGAGAGATCAATCATGGGAAAATAGAAGGGCTGTGTTTGCACAGGGACATATCTCGGGGGACAGGAGTCCATGGAGGGAAGGACACAAGGAAGCGGTGACTGGGGAGGATATGGGAGGGAAGCTGTTGCATTGTGGGAAACCGTAGTCAATGTCATGAGACAAAGTATATGTGAGCTGCTGTATGGAAAGTAAATTTGCTCTGTACACTTTCACCCAGTCACAATTAAGGGAAAAAAACAAGAGTTCCCAGCCCCGTCCAGACAGACTGCTGACGGCACCCACTTCTGCACCAAAGCGTTACAACCCTCCAAGATGGCGCTGCCCTGCTCACTGTCACAGCGGCCACAGCACCTGCCAACACCTGAGCACTGCAGCAGGGCCAGAGGCAGTGTCGCCACCTGGCGAGCACGGACGCACTTAACCGTCCCGACGGCCCAGCAAGAGGTGGGTACGACGGAGGTGCTCACTTCACAGACGCGCTTACGAAATGCGACAAAAGGGCCGCGTGTAGTTTAAAAACTTGCCTGACCTGCAGCAGCCCTCCATGAGGGTTCCCAGGCACAACACAGCCATGAAAGGGATTAAAAAAAACCCTACCCCACGGGCGTGGAGGGAATGCCAAAAAGCCACCGCTGTGGAGTGGATTCCGACTCACAGTGCCTCTGGAGGACAGAATGGAACTGCCCCACAGGGTCTCCAAGGCTGTCAATTTTCATAGAAGCAAAGCCCAAACCACAGCCACCACCGGAGAGTCAATTCCAACTCACAGAGCCCCTAGACCACAGAGCAGAACAGCCCCAGAGAGTTTCCAAGGTCAACTGTTACGGAAATTGACTGCTTCATCTTTCTCTTGCGGAGCAGCTGGTGAGTTAGGTCCACCCACCTTTTGCTTAGCAGCTGAATGCTTTCAATCACAACAGAATGACTGGGAAAGACTATGCAAAAAAGATGCCTGTGGCCCACCAAGGGGATTGGACAGCAAATAAGATGCCTGGAACCCTCGTGAGGGGACCGGTCAGTGTTGCCATCCCTCCAGGCTTAAAGGCAGCCAGAAGTGAAAATGGACCTTACCACCAGCAGGAAGAGCCAGGAACAAGTGCACACTTTGGAACCGGAGTCCCTGTGCTGAGAATCTCCTAGACCCAGGAGACAGCTGTAACACCACAAAGATGGTGAGAAGCAGTAACAAGCATGGCAGGGTCCGGTGGCGCCAGCACGAGCGCTGAGAAGCAGGGCACTGGCGTGAGGCAGCATGGTGAGCTTCCCAGCCCCTGGAGCGAGGTGGCTATGGTGTGGATGCTAGCCCAGGGAGTGGGAGAGCTGAGAGCCTTTGGGCAGGCGGCTTACTGGTGGGGTGGGGTGGGGTGCCTCAGGGCACTTGGGGGCAGAGCTAAGGAGCTGTAACACTTGTTTGAGCTGGGCCAGTGGCTGAGGGCTGAGGTAGGGGGCCTGCGCGGCTGAGAGAAGGAGACAGTTATCCTGCACTGAGCAGCACAGTAGGGAGGGGCTGCCTTCTTCGTGGGGAGCTCTCCAGACTCGGCCTACGTGTTTCCTCATCCTGAAGTGTAACCTGTCACTTCCCTAATGAACCGTCTAACTCTGAGAATGGCCTGTGAGTTCTGTGTGGCCACTGCAACGAATTATCAAATGCAGCAGAGAAGCAGAGAGCGCCATGGGAGGGACGGCTGGTGTCAGGATTGGTAAGAAGGCTGGAGGATGGAGGCACGTCTGGCCTCCACCCTCAAGGAATCAGTTTTGGGCTGATGTTGGTAGTAATTCTCCCTCTCCCCCTGAAGTGAGAGGAGGTCTATCGGCTTCTCCTCACTCACACAGGCAGGGGCTGATGAACCCAAGATCAGCAGGCAGTACAGCAGGCTGCTGACTTTGGCCGACGATGAACCCAAGATCAGCAGGCAAATGGCGGGCTGTTGGCTCACAGGACAGTCACAGAGACTGGCAAGTCCCAACTTCATGGGTCAAATAAGCTGGAGGCTTTTCCTGATTCACACAGATGCAGGGGCTGATGAACCCAGGAATAGCAGGTGGAAAGTTCCAGAATTTTCCCAGGACATCCATATATATATTGGGAGCAGGCCATACCCTTGAGGAAACTCCCTTTCAACTCACTGGCTGCTCAAAGCATATCCCACCATGGAGATGACGACCTCACGCCACATCTCAACAAGGAAATGACAACAGCACAGCTGCTTAAACTACTCCGAATCACGGTCCAGCCAAGTTGACACACAACCTTGACCATCGCAGACGCCATGCCACTATGTTACATCAACAGAAACAAATGAGCCTGATACCAACCTGGTGGCAGCATCATACAGGAAAAAGAATCCTCCCGAGTGACTTAAAAAAAAAAAAAAAAAAAAAACTATGTCCAAGGTACAGACAACAAAGGTAAGGCCTGTCATATACACAATACCGTGTTGTCAGTGGTAACAAACATTAATCTACGGGTAAACAGATGGGTAGACACGCTGAACGATCAGGTATGTCTAGGCAAAAGGGAACACATGATATTTCTGCACACGCATTTGTATGTGCTGGGAGAACGTCCAAGTACATAATAGAGCTAACAAGGAGCAATGCAAACAACACAACGCACTGCCCTCAAGTTGGACCCGACTCACAATGACCCCTCCTTGGGTTTCTGAGGCGGTATCACTATGGAAGTAGGCTGCCCAACCGTCCTTCTGAGGAGTGGCTGGTGGGTTTGAACTCCCAGCCTTTTGCTTAGCAGTCAAATACCTTAGGCACTATGCCACCAGACCTCCCAACAAGGGGCAAAGTTATGGTAATTTCTTGGTCACAGCCAACAACCCTGAGGGAGCAAGCGGTTGGACCTGCGGGCTCAGGATCATGGTCCCAAGGGGCATCAAGCTCAATTAACATAACACACTACACAAAAACACTGTTCTACACCCTACTTTGGTGAGTAGCAACAGGGGCCTTAAAAGCTTGCAAGTGTCCATGCAGATACAACAATGGGTCTCTCCTTGTCCAGAGCAAAGAAGAATGAAGAAAACCAGAGACATATGTAAACAATTAGTC